AAAGAAAAAATTTCCAGTTAACTAAAAGTTTAATTAAGTTCAGAATATCACTTTTTGAAACCCATAGTAAAGTAATAGTTCTAGGGGTTGAGCATAAATAACTGCTAATATCACTATATTAATCAACTTCCATTGGTAGGACAAAATATCTGAAATAATAAATTTAAAGGGAAAAAAAGTTTAGTGGGCTCACAGCTTCAGAGGTTTCAGTCAGTGGTTAGCTGGCTTCATTGTGTTTAGTCTGGTGGTAAGGCAAAACATAAGGATGGGGAGCATGTAGCGAGGCAAAGCTTGTCACCTCATGATGGCTGGAAAGCAGAGAGGGAACAGGCTGGGTCCTGCTGTCTAGTACAAGCACATCCCTGAAACCTTACGATTTCCCATCAGGCCCCACATCCTAAAGGTTCCACCAGCTTCAGTAGCAAACTTGTAAGGAATGAAAGGGAAACCTGATAGTTAAAAAAAGATTTCAGACTTTTAAATAGCTAAGACTAACCTCAAAAACACTGCTAAATGAAGTCAGATACAAATGACTATATTCTGTTTATATGAAATGTCCCAAATGGGCAAATCTATAGAGCCAGAAAGTAGATTAGCAATTCCTTGGGCTAGCGGGAGAGAAAGAATGGAAATTAATTGCAAATGGACACAAGGGATCTTTTGGAGGTGGTAGAATTTTTAAATTGGATTGTAGTGATAGCTGTACAACTCTACTAAAATCATTGAGAAGGGCCAGCCCAATAGCTCAGCAGATTAAAGAGTCTGCTTAGGCAGATGCAGGGACTAGGGTTCGATCCCTGGCTTGCTGTGCTGGCCCTGCCCCTGGGGCATGCTGGTGGTACACACTTGGGAGGCTGAAAACAGGAGGATCACTATGAGTCCAGTCTATGTAGTGAGACCCTATAGACCCTGTACTAAATACATTTTAAAAAATGAACGTAGTACAAATGGGCAAGTATCTGGGAATGCATACTCATGTAATAAAGCTATAAGAAACCTGAAGACGTTATTACTATGAAAAGTCATATAGTGGTTACTTTTGCAGGGGGAGAGAGGGCTTAATCACATTATGCACATGGAGAGACTTGGGAAGGCTGCAGAACTATTTCTTGACTCATGGCTCTAAGACCTTGTAAAAATTTATTTATTTTTAAAATATATTTGAGTTTCCAATATTTTTTCTTTTACAATAAAGGAGTAAAAAGAAGAAAAGAATACCAGACTCCTAAGTTGTTAGATCAGATCCCCCCATATTTCATCCTTCATTATAGAATATTTTTCATTGGCAAACTCTGCAGCCAGGAAAATGCTGCTTCATTTCACAAAGGAAAAACAATGCAAAAGAGGGATATAGCAGTTTGTTAGTGTACTGTGCTTAGTAAGTGACAGTGGGACCTCAGAACCTGTTCTGAGTACATACAAAACACATTCTCATGCCTTTCTGGTACGTCCAAATGTCCTATGGTTTTCAGTTTTAGGCGCACAATGAAAATGTATATAACGAGCCCAAGAATGGTGATGCACACTTGTAATTCCAGCAGTCTGGGAGGCTGAAATGAGGATTTCAAGATTGAACCTAGCCTGGGCAACTTACCAGCATATCATGACCTTGTCTTAAAATTCAAAAAAGGGCTGGAAATATAGATCAGTGTGAAGGCCCTGGGTTCAGTGTACACACACACACACACACACACACACACACACACACACAAGAAAGAGGTGTAATAAAGGATATGGGTAGAAGAGGAAAAATCACCTGTAAAAGCACTTCCCTGGTAATTCATAAGTATTTTTCCTTTGGTGGTTTGTTAAGGATTTTACTTTTATTGATAGTGATGTTTTTGTTTTGGGAACAGGAGTTGTTGGCCATCTTAGCAAAAATTCTTTCCCCAAATGCAATTCATTCTGGAGAGGATGCCTTTTGTGTTTTTGGCCTCTTACAAAAATCACCAGAACATCTTTTCTAGGGCCGGGGAGATGGCTCAGTAGAATAAGCACTTGCCTGGCAAGCGCAAGGGCGTGAGTTCAATCCCCGGTTCTGAAAAAAAAAAATTCTTACTGTTATTATTTACCATGTAATATACAAAGGAACAGAAGTACCCTTCCCCACCTCTGCTGGGCCCTAGACAAGCGGCTAGCTGTATTACTCTTCTCATCATCTGTGTTGTGTTCAGAGTGGAGGTGAGCTCCTGACATGCTTAGCATTCTCTCATTATCATCCCCTCTTTCTCATTTTTCAGCTGTAGTTGATTTCCAGAGAGTGGCTCAGGAACAAGACAATGAAGAAAAGGAGAAAGAGGATGATGAGAAGGTACTCCGCAGAGCACGGGAGTGGGATGAGTGGAAGGACACTCACCCAAGGGGCTATGGCAACCGACAGAACATGGGGTAGTCTTCCGACGACATGACAGGACTCCAGGGCGTGGACCTTTCCTGCCAAGGAAACTGCCACCATGCCCTCCGTGGTTCCTGCCTCACCTGCATACAACAAAGCAGAGATGGTGACTCTTGCTTTGTGTTCAATAAAACATCAAATGATTAAGTGTGTATTTGTACCCTAGATAATAACCAGTTATCATGTTTTGACATTACTAATTCTTACATTGTATCCTGATTTCTTAAGTGGACAACAAAGTACACTGACAAGTGACTATATAATCAATGCTGTACGAATTCTCTTTAAAATGAAATAAAATCTCTTCTATTCCATGAGTTTGTGCTGCATTAAAGTGGTTATCAGCTGCTGTCTTGTAGGGCATGTGCTGTTGGATGGATGTCTGGGCTTATAGTGCGATCCTAGTCATGTGCCTTTGTCACAGGCATGGAGTTGCTCACCATCAGAGCTGCCCAGATGTTCTCCTTCCACTTCAGCACAGAGTGTGAGCTGCAAGCAGTACCCCTCTATGAAAACACACAAGCCAGGGCTTTCCCAGCCACACTCACAACTGTAGATGAATGGACCATTCAGGACTCAAAGCCCTCTTGGTCTTGGCCAGGAGACACAATTGCTCCAAAGAAGGTGCTGTGAGAGACACCTGGTGTGAGAGTGGCCAGGCCCTTCCCTCTCACACAAACACTGGCCTAGCCATGAGTGACAAAGCAGCCTCAGGCTTCAGTCTAGCTCTTAAAGTGGCTGCCTTGGACCCTGTTGGCCCTCCTTGCCTATGTCATGTGCTCTCTGCCACAGGTGGAGCTGATGTTTTATGCGCCATGGTTTTCTGGCTTCTTTGATGGCTGTGTGTGGGTGTGGAGGAGCGGCAAGGCACAGATGACACTGAAAGCCATTGATTTGCTGGAGTAGACAGAAGACACTGTCCTCAGCTCTTGGGTGATATCCTGTAAAAGGAGCCATGTGTTGAAATAAATGATCTGCACAGGCAACAGCCTTTTCTTCTATTGCTTTGGTACACTTAGGTTTTCTTTTGAAGGGAAAGATGACGCAGCCCTAACTTGTGCAGTCTAGCTGATGAGCCCTTTGCAAAGGAGACTTTCCTCTTGGTGGGAGGAGCTGCCAAGTGATGAGAAAGTTCCGCTCTGTGGGCAAGGACAGTAGGGCCTCTGCTAATATATTTGTTCACTGCTTAAGTGAGACTCAGCTCACTCACACATAAGCACTCCAGCCTGGTGGAACACAGATTAATTCCCTACAGATTAGGAAGCAAGTAATGTTTTCAACTCCAGTTGTTGCTGGACTGCCTCTATGCCCTGTTTCCTGTCTTTAAAATTCTATCCCGAATTCATTTCCCAAACCTGGCCAGGGTGCAATCTCCTCTTAGTCTGGGTCCATTTAAGAGTGGGCCTTTCTGAAGTTCCAGCTCAGTTAAGCCCCCATACCTTTCTGATATCCAAAAGGCAAACCAGACAAGGTAGATTTGAATCCTGGCCTTAAGTGTAAGCTGTATCACTTGGAAGGCACAGGCAGGGGGATCTTTGTGAGTTTCAGGCCAGCCTGGGCTGCAAAGTGAGTTCAAGGCCAGTCTGAACTGCATAGCATGACCCCGTCTCAAGAAGACAAAAAGTGCAAGCTACATAACGTTGGGCAACAAAACCAGAGCTGCTTGCTTGGTGTACATAAATAACCTGTCTCCTGGGGCTGTGAGAAGTCATTGCATAATACGGTCATCTCTTAAGCAACTAGAGAGTAAAGGCTTTCTGTTGGTATCGGCTCAGCGCTTACTGTCTGCCTGATAAGAAGGGAAAGGTGCCCGTACATGCACCAGGCCCCGTCTCAACTGTCAGTGACTGCGACTGCAACAAGGTTGCATTGTCCCCATTTTACAAAAGAGAAAAGCCAGAGAAGCTGAGTGTCACTCCAGTTCACGCTAGTCATTTGCCATGCGTGTATCAATTGCTTGTGCTTTTAGTTAGCTGCTTCCAAGTGGCAGGAAGATTGCAAGTTTTAGCACAGCCTCAGCTATTAGTAGTGAGACCCTATTGCAAATTTTAAAAAAAATTATTTTAAAGAGAAGTCAGACAAAATCAACACAGAAAATACAGAATTCCAAAACGAGACAGATGATAGGAAGTTAATGATAGTTGTGGTATTACATATTGTTACCTTCAAAGTAGTTGCTCAGATTACCAATACAAGTATGCAAGATTGATCAAACAAAAAATTCCATGCGGGGGGCCTGCCCCTTAGCTCAGCTCTTTAAGTGGCTCCTTCAACAAAGCAGTCAGGCTCAGGTTGCTGTGGTTGAATCCCCGCAACTCAAGCCAGCCAAACCTGCCCTGAAGGCATTTGGAGGGGGG